AACACCTGGATCTGGCTTCCAGAGTCAGTGTCTATCCACTGCTCCCCACCGCCTTTCCGCCTTGATGTTAGCTTCCTTGTTCATCAGGCAGCACAACTGGCTTTTACACATCTACGAGTATTAAACTGTTGCTGCTATCAGTGGCCTCAAGAAATAGGTTAGAGCTCAAGATTGTTTTCTATTTTTAATGTAATCTGCTCTCACCTGTAATCTGTAATCTGATTTGGAATCCAAAGCCTGAGTAATTATGGAATGACTGCTTTAAAGAAGTAACACTGTTTTCTTCTACCTATTATACTTTCTTTCCTTACTTCTTTTTCTACACACAGATAGTTACAAGGAGATAGTGATAGGTACAGGTAATCTTAAATGCTGAAACTTTATGAAGCAGTTTTAAAGATTGGATAACTATCCTGAAATTATAATACCAAAGGGCATATTAATTTCATTGTCAAGCTATAAGTACCAAGTATTTTCTCTGCTTTCAGTTATATGTGTGTAAAATGGCAAAAATGATTAAATCAGTTCTTTTAACTATCTGTTCTTTTTAGCTATGGCTTTCTACATTTACTGGTTCCAGAAAAGTAGCTTATTTGAAAGACTATAAAGTATTTTCCATTCATTAAGCATTTATTAAGGGGCAGCTCAGTGGTGCAGTGGACAGAGTGCCAGCTCTGGAGTCAAGAAGGCCTGAGTTCAGATCTGGCCTCAAACACTTACTAGCTGTGTGACCCTGGTCAAGTCACTTAACTGTGATTACCTCCCCCCCCTTCCAAAAAAGCATTTATTAAATACCTATTGTGTGTAAGAAACTGTGCTTAGGCTCTGGGGGTACAGAGATGAAAAACAAAACAGTCCTGAGTCCTTTTCTGTTCTCCTTCTATATCATCCGCTTTATTGGGTTGAAATAACTATTTTTATGTGGATGATTCCCAGATCTATACAACTCACCCAAATCTCTCCCCCAAGCTTCATACTCACATTACTGACTTACCTCTTGGAAATCTCAAACTGGATGACCCATAGGACCTCAACATGTCCAAGATGGACCCCATCTGTCCAAAAAAATAAAAAAATCATCCTCCCCGTCACGTTGGCCTGCAACCTCCATGTCATCTTCCATTACCCACTCACACCCCCTCATATCCAATCTGTTGCCAAGAGTGGTTATTACTACCTTTCTAACACCTGCCACACAGCTGCCAGCCTGGTGTAGGGCCCAGCACCTTACACCTTGACCACTGCCGTAGCCCTCTAGTTGGTCTTCCTACCTCAGGCCTCCATCCATTCTGCTTCATAGTCTACTCATCTACCCAATGATTTTCATAAAAGGCAGATCTGGCCATGTCACTCTCCCCCTCCACTTTACTAAGTGACTTCCTGGTACCTCCAAGATCAAATATAAAATCCTCTGGCTTGTAAAAATGTTTCACTACCTGGCTCTTCACAGTTTTGTTACTCTTTAATCCCTTGCACATCCTCTCTGAACCAGCAACAACAGCCTCCTTGCTGTTCATACTCATAACACTCCTCCTGACTCCATACCTTGCCACTAACTGTCCCCCAAGCCTGGTATACTCTCTCTCCTCACCCCCACAGCCTGGTTTCCCTACTACTTTCAAGACTTAAGCTCAAATTCCACTTTCTGTAGGCCTTTCCTGAGTCCTCCCCTCTCCCCCAGTTCCCACCATCCCCCATTAATGCCTTTCCTCTGAGCCTCCTTTCCACCTACATTGTAGAGATCTTATAAGTACAGTTTTTACTTAGTGTCTCTTCTGTTATATGTATGGGAGCTCTGTGAGGGCAAGGGCTGTGTATTTGCCTTTTATAAGAACAGTGTCAGGAGAGGTAAAGTCTAAAATGAATTGAATCTTATGAAGAATGATGAAAAAGAATTTTTAAAATGTCTTTATTTTATGCTTCAAACAAGATCATGGAACAGGTTCACTGCTTATGGCAGATTATATGGTATAAAGAAATGACTCCATTCCTATTATTTAACTGCTTTAGTCTCCATAGTTCAAGTCTCTGGAGTTCAAATCTCCAAACACAGGCAAATTGTAATCCAATTAACTGCAATAAAATGCAGATGAAATTATGAATGGTTGCTGATCATCTCTGAAGAATAGAATAAAGAAAAGTTCCAGAAGTTGGAAGTTGTCCAAATATTTTTCCCAAAAAGGACAGAATAGAATCTAAAAGCTCTGGACTAGTGAAGCTGATTGGGAACACAGAATTGGAAGTAACCTGTGAGATCGTCTGATCCAACAGAAATCCCCTCTAGAGCATAACTAGTACATGGTCATTCAGCCTTTGTCTGAAGACTCCCCACCAAGGAGGAGACCTTAACAATGACCTAATCCAGACTTCTCATTGTACAAATAAGGAAACTAAAACCCAAAAGAGTAAAGTGATTTTGCCAAAAATGGCACAGCTAGATTAATCCCTAGAACAGATTAATATTTGAACAGCTTTATGAATACCTAGGCCAAGAAGGCAACACTCAGTAAGGACCAACACTGATTCACTAAGAATGCCCTGACAAATGAAGCTATTTCTTTTTTTTTTTCCCTTTGTTGGAGGATTAGAGGACTTGTCTTCCACCAAAATCCTATTCTAGTGCCTCTTTGTGGCATGAGGGTAGCACCAAGTTCTTCAGAGTTTAAGCCTCGGTAACTAAATCTACCAAGCTGAAAAAAAATCTCCATATAGTTGTAGCAGTGGATCATATACCTCTTGTCCAAAGGCCAGCCTGGTCGGGTTCAGTGCTAGAGAACTGACCACCATCAGGTGAAGAATTTTTTGAGCTGCAGCTACTCACAAAGACTAACTCCTAAGGCAGTGGTCTCAAACTCAAATAGAAGTAGAGGCTATTAAACTGTACATGAAGATCCCTGTGGGTGCATATTGCCTCAGAAGACCACATATAAGCATTATCTATGAACTTGGGTCTTCCTGGTTCCGGGACTGCCACCCTATCCATTATGCCACCTAACTGACAAACAAATTTGCCAATAGCACAGAGCTGGAGATAGCTAATTCAGTGGGTGGTCAGAACTAGGACTCAAAAATATCTTGACAGGCTGAAGCTAGCAAAATAAAATTAAAGATTTACAAATCTAAATTTCTCTACTTAAAAAAAAAGTCAAGAGAATAAGGAAGATATTTCAGTTCATGTAATAAAGACCTGGAATTTTAAGTACACTAGAATATCTGTATGAGTCAGTAGTGTGTGGTTGTCAAAAATAATGTAATTTAAGCTACATTAATAGAACCATTTTTCAGAACAAGGAAGATGATAGTCCCAATGTACTCTGTCTTTATCAGACAACATCTAGAATACCTTGTTCATTTGTCAGCACCACATTTTAGGAAGGACAACTAGGATGATGAGGGGACTCAAAACCATGTCATATAAAGGATAAGTTAGAACTGGGGAATGTTTAGCTGGAAGAAGATATTTGGGGGTGAATAAAATAATGGTCTTGAAATATTTAAAATGCTATCAAGCACAAGATGAATTAGCCTTATTTTTCTTGGCTTTAAAAAGGAGGATCGAGAATAGAAGATACAGGGGCAGTTAGGTGGCACAGTGGATGGAGCACCAGCCCTGAAGTCAGAAGGACCTGAGTTCAAATCCGGCCTCAGACCAAACACTTGACACTTACTAGCTGTGTGACCTTGGGCAAGTCACTTAACCCCGATTGCCTTACTAAAAAAAAAAAAAGAATAGAAGATACAAGGAAGGAGGTTTTGGTTTAAGAAATAATTTCTGATCATTGGAGCAGTCAAAAAAATGGAATAGGACACTTCGTAAAGTGAGGAATATTCTGTCATTTGGAACATTCAAGAAGAGACTGGGTGACTACTCGTCCGGGATGTTATAGAGGAATTCATGAATGGAACAAGAAATTAATCACCTTGGAAGCAGATGACTTCTAAGACTACTAGAACAAGGCTTAAGTGTTTATGCTTCCATTATATTGCCATTAAACATAGAATCCAGAGTTAGAAGGGACCTCAAAAGCCATCTAGTATGGCTCATAACTACTTGAATGAGTTTCCCCTCTCCAGCATATCAGCCTTTATTTGAAGGCCTCTATCAAGGTTAAAATAAGTTTTACCTCATATTACTCTCAATTGCCCCCCGTTCTAATTTTGGGGCCAAACAGTACAAGTCTAATCTATGTCAGCATTTCAAAAACTTGAAGATGGGTCTTGTTCCTCTCATGTCTTTTTTTCTCCAGGCTACACATTTCCAGCTCTTTCTACCAGTTTTCATGGGCACAATCTCAAGAACTGTCACCATCCTGGTCATTTGTCCCCCAGCCTACCAGTGTGCTTTCTAAAATGTGACCGCCAGAAGTGAACATAATACTTCAGCCATAGTGTGTCTTAGACATGTTGTCTCAGGAATGTCACTACCTAATCCTAGAAATTATCCATGTCTTCATGCAGCATTAGCCACATTAGCTTTTTTGGTTCCCACATCACATTGCTGACTCATACTAAGTTTGCTGTCCATTAAAACCCCCAATCAACTAAAAAATATCTACTCTCTAGTCGTGCCTCCTTATGGTTATCGCTAACCATGTTAGTGATTCTGCATCGCCTTATTAATATGTGCGTGTGTGTGTTTGAGCCTAGAAGCTTTATCATGTCAGATGGATTATTTGAAACTTAAGTTTCTATAGGAAAACCAAATCTAACATCATTTCAATTCATAGCACTGTTTTTAAGGAAAATAACTAACTGTAAGTAAATGGGCTATGTTTCTTGGAGTTTGATGCTCTTGATATCTTTCACATTGTGTTTTTGTTCCTACTTATGGATTACAAAACAGCAATGTTCAAATTAATCCTATAAGAAAGTGTAACCAAAGGACTTTCATTTTTTTGCCTCTACTCTAATGAATAATGAAATATGTAATTAATATGATCATCAATAGGTTTGGGGTTTTTTTGGCAGTACTTAGATGTGACTCTTCTAAATTTTGACAGGTTGTTCCAACAGAGGGACTGGTGTCTATATTAAAGAAAAGAAATAATAGTGAAGGAAATCAGCTTGCCCAAATGCAGCAAAAATCATCAAAGAGACGGGTGAGGTTCCAAGAAATGGAAGACTCCTTGGATCAGGGTAAGTTGCAGATAATGATTAGTAACAGGATTTTTAAAAGGAGATGTGTTCTCAAACCAAGAAGAGGCCGTAAATTCCTATGATTTCATCAGTCTTGGTATTGACATACTTGTGCCTTTGTAGATGATTTCTTAAGTTACTCTGATTGAAAAAAAAAAAAAAATCATTCTGTGGCAGCCAGCCTTCCTGTAGGGCACCTTTCCATACTTCCCTGGAGGGAGGACAGCCTATCACTAGGTCTATCCTTGAACCTGTTCTCTGTAGGACATGCCAACATTTGCAGTGCACAGACAGAAGTGACTTTTGAGAACCTAGAGTGACTGCCATTCCACATTGAGGCATCAAAGGAAGACTTTAGTGGAGGAATTGTTTCTTTAAATCATTACCTGTAACTAGAGATTGTTAGAATAGAGCTTTTGTTCCTTTCACATAGTTCACCGTGAGGAAAAAGAAAAGCATCATCTCAAAGAATTACCCTTATTACTCTTACTCTCATGAACTTCTTTCCCCTAATATCCTGTTTAAAATGTTTCTTTTCTTGTGAGTGAAGATTAATTTTTGTCTTTCTAATTCATGAACCTTAATATTCCCATGCTTTGTTAATAGTAGTATATAATTTTATATATAATATATTATAATATATCATATAAATAATAACAGTTCTGAATATTTGTAGATTGTAAGCCTTGTTTCAAGTTCTAGATCCTCTTCTCATGTATGTAAATGATGCTACGTCTCCTCAGAGAGCTCTACAATGGATAAAATTCATTAGGAGCAAAATGTTCTGGCATTTAAAATTCTAGTAATTGCCATCACCTTTGCCATAACTTTGTAAGTTGGAATTTGCAGGACCAGTCCTATAGAAGCTGATTTTTCCCTCCTAAGTACAGTGCCTGCAATTCATAGCTGCCACTGGGCATAGGTGGTACCTTGTAATGTGATTGCATAGGCCAAACAAAATTACCCAAGGGTCAGAGATGAATAATTAATAATATGTCCCAGATCCTGTGCTTTAAAGTGTAACTTCATAAGTTATGCTTCTTTTAAAATATAACTGTTTATTTAAATACTTATTAATCACTGTAAGTTAGACAAGTGACAAACAAGTTAGGGCAGGGTTTAAAGAAATATGTGCAGCAGTGTAGTACTTTTGACTAAACCACAGCTATTATTAATCACCACTTAACTCTGATTCTCCCCACTGTACTACAAGAACTTTCTGTCACTTTAGCAAGCGTCAGACTTCTCATCTACTATTTGGCTATGGGATATAGACTTGTACATGAAAGAAATCTTTGAGATCATATAGTCCAGCCCTTGTACTTTACAGATGAAGAAACTGAGTCCTAGAGAGGGGAAATGACTGGCCAGATATCACACAAGTAGTAAGTAGCAGGGCATTTGAACCAATGATCTCTGACTCCAGAACCAGGGCTTGCTTATTCCCCCGTACCAAGCTGCCTTATCCATAGTACTGCCTTAAACTCCCTATTTCTTTTTCCTGAAAAATGAAAATGGAGAAAAGACTGTGCGCTCATCTGCCTTTACACTGACCTATACAAAAAAAAAAAAAATGTGTTCTCAATCTTTGCCTTCAAGAGAGGGTAGCAACCCAGATATCTAGCATACTGGGCCCATGCTTGGTTCCAGTCCCACTTCTACCACTTACTGGTGTACATGTAATTTTAGGTAAGTCACTGTAAAATAGGAATGGTAATTCCTGCCCTCCCTGCCTTGAGAATCAGCTGACGTAATGGGTATGAAAGGACTATCAATGGTTGTGCTGATTATGGTGATTATATTATCACTATATTCTGTAGATTCTGACCAACCCATGTTTTTGCCATAAACATCTTAGAAGGGACAAACTGTTTCTGCTCTGAACACTTTAAACATGTATGGATAAAGTAGAAAAAATTATAAACAATTTAAACTGTATGAAAATAGTTATGCCAAAGTTTCCTAATAATGATCTAGATTTATAAAAGGCATATTCAGTGAAATTTATAGGAGCAATTATTTCATTCATTAAAAAATGACATTCTTATTATAAAGCAAAGTCTTAACCAAAATATAAATGTTATTTCAATTTAACTTGGCTACTTCATTATTTGTTATTATGGAGTAAAGTTCCATATAAAAATGCCCAGATTCCATTTAAGCACAATTTAATTTACTAAAAGAACAAATTGACCTTGAAAAGTGTCTTGGATTTGGAGTCAGAGAACCTGGATTAGAATCTCAGCTCTATCATTTACCAGTGTGACCTTGGGCCAGTCACTTACTTTACATGGGCCTCAGTCTTCTCAAGTTTGGGGGTTGGATTGGATGCTTTAAGCTCTTTGAGGGCATGGGCTATTTAATGTTTGGTTTTATGTTGCCAGTGCTTTATATGGACTTCTTTTACCAAAGATTACATACACTGTATCTCAGTATCTTATGTTAGTGGTAGCATTAATCTCTACTCTGACTCAAGTCAGAGAGGCATCATGGTGCAGCCTCTCGATCTCTAAACTGGGAGGCCAGAAGACCTAGGTTGAGATTCCAGCTCAGACACTTAGCAGCCGTGTGTCCGTAGACAAGTCAATTATTCTGTCTGCTCCCCAGTTTCCTTACATGTGAAAGGGAAAAGGTGGACATGATGACTTCCGAGGTTGCTCCCAGTTCTTCATCTGGGATCTTGTAAGTTGAATAATGTGCAACACGTTGAAATAGTAAGTGGTTATTTGTTATACATTGGGAAAGCTCTATTTCCAGCTCTATTTCTGTATTTCTCTATCAATAAACCTGCTTTTCCTAGAGGACTGGGATCGTTAGAAATATATAGCCTTTCCCACTCCGTGAACACATGGCGGATGCTGAGTGTCCTCTTCTGGTTTCACTTTGATAACCTCACCATATTGGAAGTTTTTATGTGACCTCTTGTTCGTCTTCATGTTCTCACAGATGAAGTTGGTGGTGGCTCCTGTCTTTTGCTGGTCTTGCTGTGCATAGCGACTGTTTTCCTCAGCGTCGGAGGAACTGCGTTGTACTGTACCTTTGGTGATGCGGAATCCCCTGTATGTACTGACTTTGCGGCCAACATGGATTTCTATTATACCAAGTTACTGCAGGGAATGACGGAACTTAAACGCAGGATACCCTTCTCATAGCAGCCTTCCCGCCTTGAATGCCACAGGCAGTGAGAACCACAGATCGGACAGTACTTCTGTCCTGTGTGCTGCCACTTTCAGTGAGATACCACGGGCGACAGAGACTTCTTCAGCACAGACTCTGAGCACCGGAGGGTGGAAGGACGACCAAATCTTGATGTCTTTGAGAGCACATCAGTATCTTCCATGTCGCTGCAAGTAGAAATGGATAAAGCATTCCTATAACCACCCATTTTTAGCCATCTTGATATGCTAACGGTTAAAGATCACGTTTAGTTTACATTTGTTTGTCCAAAGACGTTGCTTCCAGCTATCATGCAATAAGTCTTGTGTGTCATGAAAAGGAATTACCTTATAGTCTTGATGTCTTTGTAATTATACTCGGGAGCTGTGTAATCCAGGTTTAGCAAATCAATGTTTTCAAAGTCCACACCTCGTATGTGAAATAGTTGTGTGTATGTATTTGTCCGTCTCTCTCTATTCTCAGGCAGTTATTATGAGCAAATACCCAACACAGAATAATAGCAATTGTCATTATTCTTTTATCTTGAATATTGCTGTGCAGGCACAGATCTTCTTTCCATTTTAACCGTTGTTCAACTATGTAACTGTGGAATTGATGGCCTGGAGTAGATAGACAATTGAGTTTCAGAAATTTGGCTGTGCTACGTGGCAGTCAACAGCAGCTGATTTCTAGTTAATACGATTAGATCAAAATCTGATTAGATGCTGCTCCTCAGGCCTCCATTTCTAACTCGTGTTTAGAACATGTTTCTAACATGGTTTGCATACTTCTTAATGCCATGAACGAATGCTCACAGTTCCAGTTTAGGCCTCTCATATGAAAAGCAAACTTTTTTTTTTTTGCAAGTGAGATTACATCATTGAGATAAATGAATCAGTATTAAAAAATCATGTTATATTGAGGTTTTTTTTTTTTTACATTTGAAGGTGCATTCATATAATGAATTTGAATATGCATAACAGACATGTAATAGTCACTTTGTCATCAAAGGTTCAGTCATTTCTGGAATAGGTGAACTTCAGTTCCCTCTTCCCCCTAAAAGGTAACAATAATAATATGGAATTATCCCCCTCTGAGGCTCAATTGTCTAACACTTAGGAAGCCTTACTTTACCATTTCATATCACAGGCCACAATTACACATTATTATTTAATGTGAAACATTACTTTCAGAATAAAACTTAAGAATTATAATTTTCCAGAAAGTAATCTTTGTTTTACATTTTTTTTCATGTCAGAATCATTTAAAAGAGGGAGAAATCAGTTTTATATTTCTATGTGTTACTGGCTGGTTCAGTATCTCCCTTTGTGTTTCTGCTTATTTATTTAGATTAGATTAATTTTTAAGGGATTTTTTTCCTTTGTAAATTGAAGTGTTGCTGAGCGTGCATTTGGTTATTTTAAAGCTATCTGTACAATTACTGTATCATTAAGTGTGTGTTTTGATTTTCTGCAATTTAAGTTCAGAGTGTTTTTAAACTTGTTTATTTTTAAAATGATGGTTTTCACCTAAGAATACTGTTTGATTTATATGCATCATGTCACCATGTAATATCTTCAAGAGTTATGGGTCAGAGATATTTATTTAGAAGTATATAAGATATTGAGATCATGAATCCTTATACTTAAGACTGATTTTATTAGAAGATATTTTAATGTTCTATTATAAATTTTAAGAGATTAAAAAGCTGAGGTGATTTTTTTAAAGCAGTTCAGTTGCACTGTGTATCAAATTTATACTCAAATTCTATATAAAATATTGATGGTACTAATTTTTATGTGGTTCTGTCAGTAAGGCCTGCTCACAAGAGCTCCAGTGAGGGGCTGTTAGCCATAGCTAGACATCTTCTGTTTTGCCCTCAATTTCTAATTAGGAGACCTTTGTCCTGCAACCTAGCAGTTCCACATTAAGACAAAAATAAGGTTTTCCTCTCTGTTTCAGTCACACAGCTGAAGCCCTTCTCCTTCCAGGTAATTTACTGTTGGAATCTATAAGAAATCAGTGACAGCTGTATTTGCCTTTAGAACTTAAGGCCTCTTCCTTCTAGCATAGTTCCTATTGATTTGCTGGAAAGTTTGCACAAAGAATGGAGCAGAAAGGAAATAAGATGCTTTGGTAAAATTGAACAAGTGGTGCTTAGAGAGAATATCCTTATAACTGCCCTGAGTGGGGGAAAGTGAGGTCAGTGTAGTGTGGCCAGAGCACATAGATGCCTTGACTTACAAACAGGCTTAAAATCGTAACAGAGCAAATTAGGACAAGTTTTTGAAGTTTAATAGCCATTTATTGCATGACTTGGGGTAATTCCACTTTGTGATGAAAGGGCTGTTTAACTCACATGAAAAATTTCACCTAATTTTTCAACAGTGTAAAATTATCTGTCATTTGATGGTACTGATAATTTGTAACAAATCTAATATTCTTGAAGAACTGTATTTGAAAGCATCAAATCTAGCTTGTGATTTAAAATCTTCAACAAACAAAAAGTGTCTGAGAAAATTTATTTGGACTCTTGGGTGCTGAGCAATTTTTGATTTTTATTATGAGTACCAGGTGGCCATCAACATGGTGAGATGGTAATAGGCTCCAGTTTGCAAAGCTCTCTCTTCCACTTATGGCTGCACTACCTGAAATTCTGCCATAAAAGATCCATTCCTTCAAATCTAAGGTTTTGTCTTTTAAAAGTATAGCCTTGCTGGGAGGGGGAACACATGAATCTCTGTGTGAGTTTTGAGGAGGGTAGGAGGCCCCACCCACGAATAACAGGGTAAGGATGGAATGCTACTGGTGCCAGTGTGAAGGCAGGGTATGGGACAGAGCAGGGAGGGGGAGGACAGGAGAAGAACAAAGACACAGATTTCACCAGCTTTGCAAATTTGACTAATGTTGGACTCTCTATTAAGTCATCATAACAAACCGAAACCAACAATCTTACTCCATGAATTTTTAAGGCTGTCTAATACTATATATGCTGTAGGTACAAGAATACGAATTTTGAAATTCTTTTTCCTATTCTATCTTAAAATGTTTTTCATTAAAGTAATCTGGTAATCTGATAATCTTTGAAGAACTACCCTCTGCTCTCCTAGCACAGTCAAGATACAGAGCAGGCAGTTAGATAGGCAGTTAGCTGCAACACACATAGAAGGGGGTATGCAAGGAAAAACAGGGGGGCAGCCAGGTGGTGCAGTAGATAGAGCACCAGCCCTGAAGTCAGGAGGACCTGAGTTCAAATCTGGCCTCAGACCAAACACTTGACGCTTACTAGCTGTGTGACCCTGGGCAAGTCACTTAATCCCAATTGACTAAAAAGGAAAAAAAAAGGGAAGGGGTTATGCAGGGGATACTTTTAATATCACTTTTTGTAAATGCACATATTTTCTTCCACAAAGTCCCTGGAGACCTACTCCTGAGCCTCATCCTGTCACAAAGATGACCCTGCTATGTCATCAGAGGGCTCTATTATCAGAGCTCTGAGTGTTGTCCTGACAACAGACCACCTTGCTTTCCAAGAAACAGCCTCCCTAAATATGGTGAGGCTCATCCCCAGTAGTCTGTCCACTTACAGAGTAAAGCCACTGCATCTAGACACTGTCACAGTCCTAGAAATGGAAATGGTACTGCAGAGGACAAAAATGGAAAGAGCAGCTGGACTCGGAAGAAAGGTGCATGCTAGAGGCAATACGATTTTGAAGGTTTTGAAGGATCAGTCATCAAGGTGTCTGAGACTAAATCAGGGAAAAAGGCCAAAAAGTGTGGAAAAAACCTTTGACCTTGTTACTACCCAAAAAGACCAACACTTACTGACCCCTTATCTACTTGCCCATGTACATAAAATTTTTACAAGAATAATGTGCTCACACATAGACCTCCTTGATAAGGGTTTTGGAAGAGATTAGTCAGGCTTTTATCAGCAATGTTCTTTGGTAGTCCACATCTTTGCCATGATACATGTGAATGAAAGGTTTATAGAATACAAAGTGTACTGTGCTTATTTGTTGACTATAAAAAAATATTCGATTCAGTAAAACGAAAAACCACGTTAAAAGCTTTCCTCCAGCTAGGTGTATCTCATGCCCACGTCAAGATTATACAAATCTCCTTAGAAGTTATAACAGATAACCTTGTTCGAGACCCCATCAGCATTTAATATCCAGCAAGGTATAAAACATGTAGACCTCGCCTTGATGAAGATGTTGACCATTGTCATGGAAAAGATCTGGCGCAGATCCACATTAAAGATAAATTTCCTGTGAGTGGTTAGGTCTTCCAGGTGCTCCTATTTAAGAAGCAGCTGTGTAATGGGTATATCCAAAGAGATGCAAAATAGAAAGAGATGGATTATGTGTTGAGGGGATCAGAAGAACTCAAAGAAAGTTCTCAGCACTTTGGATGGACCAGTAGTGACCATGTGGGAAGACATGGCCAAGAGTCACATTTGCCTTCATCACAGAGGATACCCACATCAGATCCATTTGAGTCCCTGCTTTTAATACCTGTAAATTCTGCTTTCAAGTATGTGGGTTATAGTGAAAGTCTTCAGAGTCCAGTAGATGCAACTTGCCTAGGACACATAACTGTCTTGTCCTAGCTCTGCCCCTAGTATTATTTTTTTAAGGATACTATAGTTCTAGACACTGAACCTTCTAGCAGCAATGATCATTCTATGCAATAAACATTTATTAAGCGCTTGAAGGGCAAAGCATTGTAGATAGAAAAAACTAAACTCTCTTCACAGAACTTCCATTCTACTTGAGGGCTCATGTGCACAGGTAATTAAATAATAAAGCAATCTGAGGAGGAATAGGGGACTAAATGGAGACCTCAGGAAAGGACTTAAGAGTTTTAACTGAGGTAAGCCTTGAAGAAAAGAAGGGATATTTAGGCAGAGGTAACAAGTGAGTACATTCTGGGCATGGGCTCATCCTGTGTGAAGGCACAGGAAATGAAATGTCAAGTGTAATGAATAGCTAATTGGTCCATTTGATGGAACTTGGAGTACTTGATTAGGAGTAAGATGAAATAGGTCTAGAAAGGTAGGTCAAGCCAAATTGTGGAATCCTTCAATGCCAGGCTGAGGACTTTGCATTTTATCCTTGAGGCGTTAGGGAACCACTGATGTTTTTTGAATGCAGGTGTGATATGGTCATACCTGTGCCTTGTATTGATTTGGCAGCTATATGGAAAATAAAGAGGGAAGAAACTTGAATCAAGGAGATCACGAATTATGAAGCTATTACAACAGTCTAGGTGAGATGGCGCATGAGTCTGAATTAGGGTAGAGGCCATGTGAGTGGAGAGAGGAAGAAAGGAAGGAGTTGTCGTGAAGGTAGAATGCACAAGGCTCAGCAATTAATTGTATATAGGGTATGAGGGACAGGAAAGAGATAAGGATGAGTCAAGTGACTAGAAAGATGATGACACCCTCAACAGAAACAGAAACCAGGAAGAGTGGTGAGTTTATGGGGCAAGATGACCACTTCTATTTTGGACATATTGAGTTTGAGATGCCCATGGGTCTTCTTGGTGGAGATGTCCAGCAGCCCGGTAGATTGGAGAGAGATTAGGCTTGTATACTGTAGATCTGCTTGTATACTATAGGTCTGCTTACAGATGATAATTTAATTAATGGGAAGGTCCACCAAGAGAAAAAGTATAGAGAGAGGTATGGTGTAGTAGATTTGGAGACATCAAAACCTGAGGTCAAATGCTGCCCAAGATATTACCTGTGTGACCATGGGCAGGTCATAGAACAACAACAATAATAATAACTAACATTTACATAATGCTCTGAGGTTTGCAAGTCACTTTCACATTTGTGATCTTTCGATCCTGTAACCTCTCTCAGCCTCAGCTTCCTCAACTGCAAAATGGAGGTAATTATAGTGCCTTCTTCACAAGGTTGTTGTGAGGATCAAGTGAGAAATATGCAAAACCTTGGAGGATAACCATACTTAAGGGAAAGAAGACAGAAGGACTGGTGAAATAGGAGGAGGTCCAGAGAAGAGAACAGCATTTCTGAAGCAAAGGGAGGAGAGAGTAGCACTTTATAGAATCTGAAAAGGCGGGGGGGGGGGGGG